GACTGCCCCAACTAGCACCTCAACTTCAGGCCCGCAACGGCGTCCCCAGAACAGCACCCTTCCTCTCCTGATTGGCAGCGACACCAGATGTAGTGAACAGAACACAGGGGGAGACAATCGAATGTATTTAACACAAAATTACAGGAATCGCTAATAGAATCTAACAGTCATAGAGTAAATGCGTCTTCAGTCAGCAAGGTTTACTTACAATTCTGTGAGGAGTGATGGTCTTTGGGAAATTTGAAACCGCTTCAAGCATCTTCATGTTCTGAAATGTCATGTTGAACAACTAAGTTGAGAGTTCTTAGCAGTGTTCCATAACAATCTTGCGTGGTAATGAAGTAATGATTTATAGGTCTTGAAGCGTGTGAATTACATCCGGAAACTTTAAATTTTAATTCAATGTCTCAAATTTTAACTCCATTCAACTCAAGATATAGAGCTCTGTCACCGACAAACAATTGTTTGCTCAGTAATGACTAACTTTAACATAAACCGTAAACTGACAAATTTCATCCATGTTGGGGGGAAAACTATGAATCACTGAAGAGATTGTATGATTGTCACACTATTTCAAGAAATAATTTGTTGATTACTCATACTTCATTTTTTCCAAATGAAATAATCATCATAAGCGTAACATTCACATACATGGACTACTTATATTTCAAATGTATGTCTCTGCAAATTGAAAACAGTACTAAATATAACGATTATTATTTCATTATATCATCATTTTTATTTACCATTTACTTTAAATATATATCTATACATCTTGCAAGTACATCGATAGAGAATATTCTTGACAATAACTTCTCATCCGGCCTTATGATTATACAAATAAATTATTGGTCCTTAGATAGCGGTTGAAGGTAATTGGCAGGAAACCCTGGACACGGGTTTTGTGCTACTTGGCACTCGTCAGCAAGGTGTACCTGTAATCTTGAGGAAACTGGTGCTCTCTGGCGGATTTGATCTCGTGTCACCCAGCTTCACAGTCAGAAACGTTACCACGGAGCTATCCGAACCGCGACCGACCTCCTGTAGGACTGAGATGTAATCACAATTGATTGATTACTTGGTGGCGATCAATGTCTTGAGTGTCCAGTCCTTATTAGTACAGATCGAATGCTATCGATCATGGTGCACCATATGATCTCAATATATAGTGCCCGCAGTGTCGAGTCACTTAGACTGGTGGTCACATTGCAACATGATCGATAGCATTCGATCTGCACTAATAAGGACCAGACACGCATAACATTGATCGCCACCCAGTGATCAATCAATTGAAATTATTACTCCAAAAGGATCGCCAAGTTTATGAAAATCATACTTTAAAAAATATAGCACACGAATTCACTTAAATACACTGTTTACTCGAGTAAGTTTGTTGGTTAAATGAAGTTGTGAGATTAGTCAGAATAATTATGATCAGTATAAGGTTTTGTGGAAATTATAATTTTTTTCACCAATTTTAAGACACAAATAAATATTAGTTCAGCAACCAGTGGGAATCTATAAACACTATTCAGTCCTGATACAGAAATCCTAAGCAGTACACATCCGCTACTACTCATCCGAGAATCAGACCTTCGGTTTCAGCTGCGAATCCATGACATCAAGACCACTGAGCTGGAATGAGCTGTTGATGTCTAATATCAATCGATTTACTATGTTGCAAAACCTTTATCCACCATCTGTAATAGATAACTGTTTCACACTCGATATGGTTGAGCTCCACTGGTTACAGCTCCTCATTAGGATTTCAAGAATTCTATTTCAAAGCTAGTCATTAGTGGACACACAACTGTTATTAGTACAGGGTTTTGTGAAAATTATAACACTTGCATCATTTCTGAATCATAAACTGATCTTAGGCTATCAACGAAAACAAGAAAACAGGATGTGAGCTAACTAACTTCTGTATATGTCTACAAGATTCATAGTGGTAAACAATCATACTAAGTTTTGTTAGTAATAACAAGTATAATATTTGATCAATATGAAATTCAGGGAATTAAAATATAAATTTGGAAGTTTGTAAATATATTAGTCCAACTGAATTATATTCTTATTCAGGTAATCACTGATTTCTTATGTTGCTTCATTAATAATCCTGAATTCATTTCTTTATAATCTTTAATGATATATTTCCCCTTCAATCGGTTGTCATTTTGGATCACACAGTAGACCCTGAAGAGAATTGTTTGAAATGTATATTCGTTATTTAAATGTTTACTATTGTGAAGGGGATTTTTAAATGTTTATCTTTATTTAAAGTAAGATTTATATTTAAATTGTAATCTTAGTAATTGATATTTTAATAGGTTTCACAATTTTACCCAGGAAACTGGTTACAGTGTCTTTAGGGAAATAATCAATCATTTTACCAGGTGAGAAGTTAAAATTATTTAAATGGTAATCAGTGAGAATATTTCGAATAGGATGTTTTAGTGACCGGTTATTTTAACGCCAATTAGATCAGGCGATGTTATTGACGCGTTCACTACTTTAGTGGCTCGAGATATGACTCCGATTTGATTGCTTGTTTGATTGTTATTGAAATATACAAAATGTCATTCCTCGTATAAAATTATCGACTTAACTTGCATTATTGAATAATAGTCAAATACGAGAAAGGATTATTCGAATGCATATATTTTGTACACTCATTGATCTAAACAGACAATCGAAGGAAAAAAGCGAAATCACGCGCAGTGGAGAAGGCATGTGTTGGGGACGATAGATCCCCAAAACTCAAATTTTGTAATTTACTTATCGATTAAATGTGCAGATAGGTCAATTGATGAACTATCGATTAAATGTACAAATAGCAGTCAATTGTTGATTAATGTTCAAAAATCTTCCATGACAATATCGATTGTAAATATTTGTATAAATACGCTTGATTTGTGTGCTTGACTTGACTTGTTATCTGCTGTTTGTCTGTAGAATACACTTTCTACACCTTACCCAGACTTTTTGATCGAGTTAGCAGAGTTGGGGACAACGGACCAGAATAGTCTATCGAGATTCTGAATCCTTGATCCGATCGATAAGTCACTGTCATATAATCGGCTGTCACTTTGAGCCATAACAGCATGTGAGCCAATTCGATTTAACCAAGCGTTAATCAATATTTATAGTCACACAAAAATAAGTTACAGATATGGGATGATTGAGATGTGAAATGCACACAAATACACTTACATAAAAACAGTCAAGATTGATAAGGGAATAATTAACAAGGTAGAAATATGACTCAAAAAGGATGGATAAATTGGCCTATCCAGAAGCTAGAATAATCTATGTATGCTTAACATAGCAACTGATACTACAATGTTCACTTATAACGTCTTCAATTAACCTGACATTCAATTTCTGTCAAACGCTTCGTTCAAATTTTAATGAAAGATCATATAGATGCTCACTTATTGATATTATAAAAATAAACTCGAACACTTTAGTGAATTGTATTTTTTCCACAACTTGTCAAACCTAAATCTTTCTTAATCTAAAAACTCAGTTGTAAAACTAAGTTTTTATCGAAATACCGAATCGTTTAATCTAATGTATTAAGCGATAAGTTTTCACTTGAATTATGAAGGTCATTTCTGCAAGCAGTGAAATTAAACTGATCCATTTATAAAAACTATTACTAGATCAAATTAGAATTAATGTAAAGTCTACTGTATCACAAATGTACCAGATAACAGTGATGACATTACGTGTCTGTCATATTGTATTGGAAATTTGTTTTCCAATAGCGTCCAAGAATGTAGTTGGTTTGTTTTTATAAGTGAATCAATTCCTTGAACTGATGCTTCGACTCTACATGTAGTTTAACGTTGATTTTCTAGTTTCGCATAAACATCACTTATGGATCTTAAGACACATGGGTGATTCTCTTCGTAAAGCTTGTAAAACTTCACTTCTCTAGATAATATTAACCCGTAATTAAAATTAAAATCAAAGTCATTATTTAAAGGTTTAATATATATCGAATGGTTATATAATTGTTAGTGATTAGTAGGAATTAACAAAAACGTTCCCCGACAACGTTCAGACATTTAAAATAACATATCGAGGAACCAACAAATTGAGCTGAGTTTCTGCTCAATAATCAGTTAAATATATTGGCTAATAGTAACTGACACCGAACATTAGCGATGATAATTGATGTTAAAATGTTGAAAAGTATAATTGTACAGATTCATTGTCAACATATGGTTCAGTGTATCTCAATTTGTTCAGCTGAATAAATCAAAACTAATGTTAAACGGTTTAAAAAAATAGATAAATTGATACCAGCAGCCCCGCTTGGCACTCGTAAGTTGGATGTCCATTCATCTCAGTTTTGGTGTTAACGTTGATACTTAAACCTATTACTTTTCTCTTCAAGTTCCAAATGCTTATGCACTGAGATACTGAGTTCAAATAGCCACTGACTTGTGAAAACATGTAAAATGTTTATATATTTAATAGTAAGGCTTGCATTATCCAATTGCTTGTATTCAGGAGGGAATTGTGATCAATCTTTGTTAGCAGTTATCAAGTACAAAAAACACATATTCCAGATTCCACTGTTAGTCATAATCCATCTATTCTGCAAAATTATATCGAGGCAATATAGATAGGATCCTTATATTCTAGGATATCAAAAAACGGGGCAACTCAATCTCTTTCTAATAGTCAATGATAGATTTACACCTATAATCTATAAAACGTTTATGTACTTTGTTGATAAGCAAAAAAAGATTATATCTTGTAGTTAGCTTTTCGGTAGTTAAACCGTCATTCTAAAATATCAGTCGAACATTAAATTCATAAGTGAAATTAACCTGTACTACTGATTAAACTTCCATTTACAAATTAGAACATTACGTTCTACACACGTGATTAACATAATTAGAGGTTATATGAATTAACCAATAGAAAGCAGATTAGTGGAAACCAATCATGTATCATTGTTTTCATATCATTAAACTTGGTTGATTGTAATACATTTTCTCAAGCTCAGTATGCAAAGTACAGGACAGTTTAAATGTATATATATATAGCTGGAGAATTTTGCAAATGTCCGATACTAACGATACACCTACAACAGTTAAATCATCGATATACTCCACTTCAAATGATGACAATAAATGTCTATCAAGCGATAGTAAACCATATAACGATTCTATAAGTAATTCTACTTGTAATGAAGATGTTCCATGCTGTTTAAAAGAAGAAGGATATCAAATGTTTCGGAACAGTTCACAAAAAGGTGTACATTTTTCAAAGTCCCCTCGAAAATCTGTAGACTCTCCAACCAAAACAACAAATGCAAACTCTAAAAATTGTAATTTATCTCCGGAGATAATAAATTCCCCAGTGAAAGAAGAACATACTACAAGTTCAAACTCTTCAATAAATGGAGCAGGTAAAAACTGGAAAAATGTTCGTCATACAATGAAATTTGTTCTGTCAAACAAATCTAAAAGCAAATCAGAACATGATGATTCTAGTCGTGATTCTTTTCTATATCGCTTTTCAACACAAAGACGTGGAACATATACACGAGAACATGAGAATCTCAATGAAACACCATTACTAACTTATCAAACATCTTTTAAAAATAAAAATGATACCAAACCACAAAATGATGATTATTCACAAAGTGGTACATTATATGAATCATGGTTTAATCAACAACAACAACAATCAGAGATTGATGATAAACAACATGAAATTGAACATTTAATTAAATCATCCTCATCACAATGTTCCATTGTAGATAACTTAATCAATAAACCAGAAATTGAACCAATGGATACTGGTCAAAATGATTCATTTTCATCACCTGAAAATCTAAATCCTGATCATCATAAAATAGAAATTGATATTGAAAAATCAATAAATTGGAAAAAACACATCTTATTATCATTTAAAATACCAATGAATTTTTTTATATTTCATTCAAATAGTTCCGGTTATTTAATATGGTTAACATTTGTATCCATAGCATTATTATATAATTTATGGGCACCAATAGCACGTCAAGCATTTACTGAATTACAAATAACTTATCAATTATTATGGTTTACTTTAGATACATTTGCTGATTTAACTTATTTAATTGATATATTTGTACAATGTAATACAAGTTATTTAAAATGTGGATTAAAAGTACGTGATCATCAAAAATTAGCTAAATGTTATATGAAATCATATAAATTTCTATTAGATTTATTATCATTATTTCCATTAGATTTAATACAATTTAAAATTGGGATACAACCAATGTTACGTTTTCCAAGATTTTTCAAATGGTATCGTTGTCATGAATGGAAAATACGTGTAGAAAATAGAACTATATTTCCTAATTTATGGAGAGTATTAAATTTAATTCATATATTATTCTTAGGTTGTCATTGGTTTGCTGCATTTTATTATTTATTATCAAAATATGAAGGATTTAAAAATCCATGGGGTTATCAACCATATAATAATAATAATAATATTAATAATAATAATAATGAAAATGATACAATATCACGTATATATTTAAAATCATTTTATTGGGCTACATTAACATTAACAACAATTGGAGATCTTAGTGCACCAACAAGTAGTATAGAGTAAGTTGAATAATAATAATAATAATTTTTTTTACTTTTTTTTACTTGGATATAATATAGATCTCAAATCAATAGACAGATACATTGGTTAATAAATCAATATTTCAAGGACTTAACTTTTTTAATTGTTTAAGTATTTTATTCATAACTCGTAGTGTTAATATCCTTAAGATTGGTGAAAATCATTATAGATTGATTTCAACACTGTTTAGTCTGTTAAAACAAAAAAGAAAAATATCGAAACTTCTCTATTGAGTTTTATTGATTAGTTAATGAGTTTATAGATTTTCAATATTCATAATTGATTTGTAGTTGGATTAATTAAATGACTATAATAGATTACTTTGTTAATTTATGGTGAAATTTGCTTAACATCCAAGTTTTTTTTAAAAAAAAACTTAATAAGTTTTTCACGAGACTATAATTTATGGACGGACCAATCATGTAGAAGATAACAGGACTCGGATTTTGACGCGAAATTCATTCATTCATTTGGATCAATGGAATTTTAGCATTATAACTGATGCCAGTTCACGATGAAAATCCTAAATCTAATTTCTAACCTTAATTATGAACTATAAATTATGATTCTAATTCCTCATACAGGTTCATAACCCTCATTTGGGCCTAGTTACTAGGTGGACACTCTCAAGGTCACTCTGACGTCATTCAAAGGTCGTCCATAATTTATAGTCGCACCAAACTTTTAATTTTAAATCATAAGTTACACGGTTTTACCTTCGAAATGTTTATCAATCAAAAATCTATATTCAATATGAATCATTTTCCATTTACAATTAAAAACATGTATATCTGATATCCGTTTGTGGTAAAAAAAAGTTTGATTCCAGTGCTTTTTCAGTAAATTGATGGAGTTTGACTGACAATCTGAGTTTACTAAATATTTTCCTTATACAGTGATTTATTTATCCCTCACAAGATAGAGAGGGAGAGAGAGAAGAAAAAGAAATCGTTTGAAGTATAGTTTTTATGACATCATCTTTCGTGAAAAAGTTTGTAGCTGTTATCAAATACAAAGGTGTTCAGTATATTTGAATTTATTTACAACATTTTAGAGAAACACAATTCTCTTTACTCAGCTTTCCATAATACCTTTAAATTGGAAAAATATATATTTCAATGGTGATCTAACACCAATCGGTTCATGATCTTAATCAAAAACTTAATAATCTTCACAACCCCATACTGATAATTATCACTAGTGACTAGCTTCGTGAGGGACTTCTCGAAGTTCTAGTGAGAAGCCGTGACCAGTGCAGCTACTCTGTATAAGTAGAGACAGTTACTTATCTCAATACAATGGAAGATGGGTTCACAATTTCATGGATTGGTTGAGGTTAGACATTACCACCTCTGGATACCGGCTCAGTGGTCTAGAGGTGAACAGTTCAGCCTACTATTGTAATTTCATTCTTTTCTCCACAATCATATTCCATTTATTATTAAACAGTGTTTTTTTCCATTTTTTAAGTTGAGGTTATCCTACATTAGTATTGGTATTTATGCCTTTGTTTTACTTTTACAACAAACTGTTTAATTATAACTCAATCTGTTAGTCTGTTTTAGTACATGTTTAAATACATTTATGAAGTAATATCTTATTCAGTTCGATTCTTTGATTAATTCATTCATTATTTCTAGAAATACTATCAAATTTGTAATAATAACAACTGACATATGACTCCTTAATTGCTCATTCTCTTAATTATACTTTAAAACATATGTATTAACTAATTAATTAATTATCGCGAGGCGAGATTGTGGATGCGCATTGCTGAAGAGTTCTACAATGGGACGAAACGGACGTCCAATACTTCCAGGTTTTCCATAGTGATTTAGCTTCAATTGACTCATGATCTCAACTATTAGAATTATTATATTATCTACAAAAACCCCTTCTGATACTCATTAAAATAATAAATTTCGTCAATGAATAAAAATAATTCAATGAAAAAAAGCTTCTTTTCAATGAAAACATTTACTTAAGCTATACATTAATATTTATAGTGATATAGAAAGTATATGAGTCTATGAAAGGATAGAAAACGATTATATCATAAATGGATTCAAAACTCTATATAACTATTAATACAAATATACAGTATAAGTAAATAATTTCATTGAAAAGAACATTCTCTTCAATGAATTCTCTTTATTTTTCTGCGTTTAATCATGTTCAATCTTCATGTAAAGTAACATTATTATTATTAGTAGTAGTAGTAGTAATAGTAGTACTAGTAGTAGTAGTAGTGTACTGATACAGTTTATTGAATGAATAATTGACATAAGTCATTATGTTTCATTTAAGATTATCATCTTATTATAATCATTTATCTTTAGTTATTTATTATATGATTTTTAGAAAAAAAAACAAACACTGAATGTAAGACAATGACCTCCATTGCTTGGAATCTTTCAATCTCTCTCGACCCGCTCTCTCTCTCTATATATATATATATATATATAGAGAGAGAGAGTTACTGTATGCACAATTAATTTAAATTTATATTTGTACTGAAAAGAGCAAGAACAAACATTCTAGCAGAATAGCATGAATTCATTTTTATTTCGTTGGTTCTCATCAGCTGCTTACAACCTGTGATATTTATAATCATAATTAATGGGTTTAAATTACTTACATAAAAGAGTTTGATTGGAAGTTATATTGTAGACATATTCATACAGTATAGCAAGGGTGTAAATAAATTTAATAGACTGAATATTGTAAATATATACCTTATGTGATGAAAGAACATTGTGACAACAGTTCAAAGGGTTAGAAACAAATAAACCTTGATAGGAATAAAATGAGTGGAGTTCAGTTGATAAAATAAGATAGTTGGAATAAAACTCAATGGTGTAATAAATGCAAGAAAGAGTTTAAAGAAAAGGAAAAAAAAATTATTAAGATATAACGAAGGAATATTAATCACCAAGGCAAGGAAAGATTAATAACCATCTTCTTTAGAACACATAAATCAGGCTTTTGGCGCCTGATAGCAACTGCTTCAGCAAACTTCAGAAGACTGGAATTTGGCTGCTTACTAATCACCTTGAATGATTGTAGGGTGTCGACCTGATGTCCTGTATCAAGAAGATGTTTGGTGATTGCACTATTTAGAGTCTTTCTTTCTCTTGTTCTGAGGCTTTTTGGGACATGTTCAAAAAATCTGAGATATGCCCTCCTTTCTGTTTGTAATTGAATTGCTCCATTGATTAACTCAATGGTGAAAAGCAAAACTGTTCACTATCGAACGATCACATAAATAAACATCAAATATATAATGGAAGTAGTGATAATAATAATAATAATAGTGATATGTGAATTGAAGGCCACTTTTGTTAAGAGATTTTTATTAGTAGTATAAGGAATTTAATTAACTTAATATAATCCAATATTTTTTTTCAGTTGGATCTTTTCAACAATTTCACATATCTTATTATTTATTAAATAAATAAATAAAAGTTTTAGACTGATGTAGATTTTTATTTATTTACATGAGTATCAACTAAATGAATTATTACGATAAACTAAGATTTATATGCCAAACTTAAAAACAATGTTGTTTTAGACAAGTAAGATAATCAAGGGAGATAAAAAGTCACTAATGACAATGATGGATGTGTAGCTCAATTTCGAGGATTAGTTGAAGTTAGACATTGACATGTTTGGATGCCTACTGGCTCAGTGATCTAGTGGTTAAGCGCACGCATGCGAGACTGATAGATCCTGGTTTCAAATTTCACGAGGCGGGATCGTGAATGCGCACTGCTGAGGAGTCCCATAATAGGACGAATTGGTCGTTCAGTGTTTCTAGTTTTTCATGGTGGTCTAATTTCAATTGACTCATGATCTCAAACATCAAAATTACGACAGATTTGTAGATGTTTTTTAAGCAGTCAGATAAACAACGATGGTAAAAAACTCATTAGTTTCAAATAGTACTAAATTTAATATCAATAAGTAATGAAGTAATAATCTTTGGAAAATATCCATAAGCTTATTGAAACTAGAAATAAATATGAAAGAATAATTTCGTTTAGAATATATAACAGCTGTTAAGTCACTGAAAACCAGACAATATTGAACGTCTGTTTGGTTCTGTTCACGTTTGTATCTAAGGAATTTGTATTAAAACTCCGCATAAAGAAATATGACACTCTTTAGTTTCTAATCTGGATAAACATTTTCATTTTCAAAATTTCTTTATTTTGGAATGATCAATATTGGATAAACAATTAATATAGTGTTTAGATAATTATGGATATCTACAGAACATTGCTTACATTTTTATTGGAAGGTTTTCAATCAATATGCTATAATAACATTTGATTTACATTATTTTCAAAGTAGTTTTTTTTTAAATCATTGTAACGTAACTGACGTTCAATGCTGTTAAACAATAAACAACTAAGTATATGTTATAAAAACTTGATATACAAACAAGTCCATATTCTAAAAGCAAACCGCCAGACACTCAAATATTTTTAATAGACTGAGGTTTCCTGAGATGAGTAGTGTATTCGTCACTCGATCCTTATCTTTTGTAGACAAGAACATTAGCATAAATAAAAATGGCCGATTTTTGAAAAAAATTTATGGACAACTGTAAGGTTAATAGTCAAGTCAATGAGATTAAATCAAAATAATTAAAATAAATATACAGATAATGACAGAACAAGTTGTTGCTCATATGTTAGAGACAATTGAAATAGTTTACTTCTATAATAAATTTGTATTTATGATATCAACTGGAAAAAAAACAATGATACCTTTAAACCTAAATCTCTCAGATCAGATGATAAAACCATCAAGATCAATTTCCTTAGCTAGAAAACTCTTTACATTATATCTAGTAATAAATGTGACGGTTATAATTTTCTATGAGTATTATATATATACTTACTTACGCCTGTTACTCCTAATGGAGCATAGGCCGCCGACCAGCATTCTCAAACCCACTCTGCCCTGGGCCTTC